CACTGTTTACAAAATGTAGCTCCAGGAGGGAATTTGTCGTATGGGAACTTTGTTTAGGAGCAAGGTAAAAGTGGGGGCACATCTACGGAAGGTAATAACTTGAGTTTTAGAGGATTTTATTTGCAATCCAACTGTAATGACAGGAAGCCGGCAGGGCATACTGCCTCCGGGGCCACTTCCACACACCCAGATGATACCGACATCGGTTGTATATGAAACATTGCTTTTGTCTGTCTTCTCTAGTGGGGTGGGATGCTGAAAGGTGAACAGCACAACAATTACTTAATATTGCTTATTAAGTAATAAGCTAAAGGGAGCCAGGACACATTCCTGTTTAACCTCAGTAGAAAATTCTGCCTGGCTTGAGAAAATGTCCTGACTCCTGAGGAGCAGGTTCTACATAAGCACCAACGTCCCAGGGGCTTTGGTTGGTTTATTTAACTCAGACCTTGATCAGCATCTGCCTACGGACTCAGAGGCCAAAGGAAGCTCAAGATGCACCACTAATAATCTAGAACCATTTCTAACATAGTTCTAGAATATTAAGTGAAAAGAGCAGGATAATAAATGATGTTGACAGTAGTATCTCAAACTTACAAAAACAAGTATAGCAAATAAAAGCAAGGAAATACACAAAAATATGAGCAGTAGTTATCCGCATGGGGGAGTTAGGTAGATAATTACATATTTATCCATCATACAAATTTTCTATAATGAGGATGCAATTGGCAAAGCAAACCATTGTTAGAATATGAAGATGTCCTTTCTTCTGGGGAGCCTTTCTTGTGCCTGGTATCGCTTCCTCCAGTTTTTAAAAATCCATTTTCTATTGTTGTTGCGCATCTCACTCTGTGTTGTGATTCCTTATTTAAATTCCCATCTCTCCCCCACACCAGACCGATTGCCTTTAGAGCAGGGATCAGGCCATTTATCTTTTCAACTCTGGTACTTCTTACTATTCCTGGCACAGAGTTGCTACAAAATAAATGTTTGTTGTTGCAAATGAAGCATTTAGTTAGTAAAACCTTTATGACAAGGGTCTGCTTGTTACCAAGGAGATTTAAAATTCTTCCTACATCATAGAAGAGTTCCCAAAGTCAAAGGAAAAGGCAGTAGTAGAAACTAATATCCTCCTAAATTAGTGATAATGCTGTAGGGATCAATCCGAGAAAGAAAAGAATTTTACAGGCACCTAGGGTATGGATGCATACATTGCCTTTTTTCTTTTTTTTTTTAAATGGCAAACAAAGACTTTTGCCCTGCCCACGGAGGTCATATTCTTTCTGAGCAGGAGTGTTTGAAACTGGGTAGGTAAATAGACTGACATGAACAACCACTGAAGAACAGTAGAATCACCATAGGATAAAAGCTCTGGAAAAATCTGAGAGCTCAACTTATTCTCTGGACAAGGAAGACGGTACAATTTCAATTATATGCTTCAATAAAATATCTTCTGTAGCTAAAAATGATAATCACAAGTATAAGCTTGACTCACAAAACCAGCCCTAAAATACACTATAATGTAGATTTCGGCATATACATGCTCTAAGCAAAAACCAAAGTTCTTTGGAAAATAACCCAGTGGAGTATTAGGATCAAACCCAAACCACAAAAGTTAGAGCTGTCTGACCCTGAGGTGCTTTGCGTGCTGCTGCGGCCGTGCACGCCCGGCTGGCCCCACGCGTGGGGAGCCTCCCCAGCCCGCGCTGGAGAAGGCCCCTACGGGGGACAGAGCAAGAGGGAAAGGGTAAGTGTGTATGCGCATGACTTAACTTTAGTAATCGCCATGATGACAAAGGAAGAGGGGAAATCATTTATTAATTCATCCTAATTTGTGCAACGGTTTCTAAAAGAGGCAAACAAGAGAATGATTCTGAAAAAAATCACGGTATAAGAATATCCCGGAGCGATCTGGAAAGACACCCGAAGTGGCCACAATGGAGAAGTGATACACCCAGCGGGTGAGGAGTTAGAAGGCCACAGAAAACAGTATAAAAGAAGGAAGACAAAAACGGGATCATTTTTTTTGAAATGGTTTCTACTCCAAGGAGATGCAAAAAATTCTGTGGGTGAGTCAGCCTGGAAATAATGAGAAAGACAGTTTACAAAGTTCATAGGAGCTAGGGCTTAATAATACCCCGGAAGAAATTACGTAGCAAAAAGCAAATGCCAGTGCATTTGTTTGATAACATCCATTAGTGCAAACTGTCCGGCAGAAACAAGCAACAGGCATAAAAATATCTTGATTTTAAAGTCAGCATGGAAAAAAAATGGATGAGCTCTTCAAAGAGTAAGTATCGATAGGGCTCATCTAAGATCAAATAACAAATAACTCTAAGTTGTGTTCGGTGATTCTCAAGATATTTTGTTATTTAAAGCCAGGTCTACAATAAGGAAATAAAAGCAGATGGACAGCAAGAAGCTTGAAGCAAAAAGTATCAAGAAATGAGCCGAGAACCAAATAATAATGTAAAAAGGGAAGAGTTTTAGGCCACACTGAACTGGCTTAGGGCAAGGGCTATTGTATAAATAAAATTAAAGTTCCTGAAGTTTTTTTTTTTTTTTAATATTAAAAAGCTACTTCCTTGGTTAATATTTCCAAAAATTATACTGTAAGAGTTCTGGAATAATACATCATGACAATCTAAACACTGCTAAAGCAATGTAATTTATCAAAATTAAGAATTGAAACCAGCCAAATGTTGCACAACAGGGGCATGGTAAATCGAATTGTGGCACATCTATCGTTTGGATATTATGCAGCTTCTAGTAATTCAATGCAGTAACATGGAATAGACTCATGACAGAGCCCCAAATGACTAAGTTATTTTATACAGTATGGATTATGGAGCTAAAGTAATGCTATATATAGTTTTAGAAACAGATTTTCTTAATTACGTTTAGATTCTCAGGAAAAAGTTGCAATTCAACTTAAATTTGCTTTGGATATTTTTTATTAGTAGTACCCTCACAGGGCTCTAAACAGTCTCTAGGAAAGCAGGTTCCTTGCTTTTAACTACAAGGGTTAATAAAACCCTTAGTAAAATATTGCAGAGATAATAGACGCTACCCTGAGAGGCTCTCTGTGGCTCACACACTGCCCGCCCTTCTTTGCCAGGTTTCTAGAAGTCACCAAGTAAATACCAAGCGTAATGTCTAAAGAAATAATTTATATATTCCCTCATAGGAAGAAAACCACCAAGTCTTGATGTGTCCCAATTTATGATTTTGTCTTAGAGCTAGTCAAGCATCTAGAACCTAAGGAAAGTGAATCCCAGTTGAAGGCTTTGGCTGGGGCCAGCACAGTGCACTTTCCCCAGGGCCCTTTCCTGATGATTCTTTTGCCTAAAAGCATTTCAAGAAAGATCCATCCCCCTTGGGAGTTTCTGCATCTATTCACGTATCCTGTCCTTTTTTGACACTTGTCATTTTGTGTTTATTAAACTAATTCCTCTACAAGCGTATTTTATTTCTTTCTTATTTTTAAGAAATAGTTCTTAAAGGTGCATTGCTTTATATCTTTGTGTATTTTATCTACTTTATTAAGTACCCTTGGGAATTTTTTAAAAGATTTGATTTATTTATTTTAGGGAGGGAGGGGCAGAGGGAGAGGGAGAGAGAAACCCAAGCAGAAGCCACGCTAAGCGTGGAGCCCGACCCTGAGATCAGACCTGAGCCAAAACCAAGCGTTGGGTGCTTAACCAACTGAGCCACCCAGGTGCCCCTTAAGAATTTTTAAAGCTCGTCTTTCTGAGTGAAGAACCTTTCTTCAAGGGATAATTTTTTATTTTTAGGATACTTCACAGATGCAACAACACTAAAAAAAAAGGTTTTCAATTACAGGAAGACAACTTTTATGCAACTTTAAAATATCTGATTTTATTGAAGTATTTAAACTTATTTAATTTTAACTATATTAAAAAACTCAAATACTTTAATGGTATATTTCAGTTAGGGAGAAAGATTAGGGTTATATGAAAATCACTTGGGAAGTGTTTCCAACTACACATGTTGGCATCCTCCCCTAGATTCTAGAAATTTTGGGGTGACTGTCACATTTCCTTCCTGCTGATAAAAAAATAAACAACACCTCCCCCCCAGAAAAAAAAAACAAAGGAAATGGAATTTGCTTTGGGCTTCCCATTTACTCCTGACCCTATTCTGGCTGTTGATCTCTTCATGATTATTCACAACATATAAATTTTTTCTTTTAGAGAGAGAGGGAGAGAGAGAGGGGGGTGAGGGGCAGAGGGAGAGGGAGAGAAATAATTTCTTTTTAAAGATTTTTATTTATTTATTTGACAGAGAGACACAGCGAGGGAGGGAACACAAGCAGGGGGTGTGAGAGAGGGAGAAGTAGGCTTCCCGCTGAGCAGGGAGTCTGATGCAGGGCTCGATCCCAGGACCTGGGATCATGACCCGAGCTGAAGGCAGATGCTTAATGACTGAGCCACCCAGGCACCCCGGGAGAGAAAGAATCTTAAGCAGATTCCACACCCCCAGCACGGAGCCCAACTCGGGGCTCAGTCTCACACCGGAGATCATGAACTGAGCCGAAATTAAGAGTCAGACGTTTAACCCACTGAACCACCCAGGTGCCCCAATTCATGATATAATTTTATGAGTTCATTAATTAAGTTAAAACAGCACTTGTGAAGGTAAGAACTGAATGTGAATATCATAATTTTGTTGTTAAAGAAAACTCATACTTGGAGTCACGTCATCAAATTCCCTATCATGAGGTTCTAGTTCATAGCAGTATGCTTCCTTTGGTACAAAAAGACCAGAAAAATATTTATTTCACAAGAAAACATGTTTTCAAGGAGAAAGGTTACACAAAAAGAGCAAGCTTTTTGATTGTTTGCCATCTAAACCCAGAAACGTTTGGGCAGATTGACCTTGCAGGGGTAGGCCAAGAGGCCAAGCAGGTCTGAGCCAGTGAGGCCAGCAGGCACTCTCCACACACACCCCATTCAAAAGCAGGTGGCCCAGTGACTCACCGGCAGGGCAAGATCCGCACAACATCATTGGGCTTGTACCCTTCAATGCAAACTGCACAGTTATCAAAATCGGGTTCTGTCTCCTGCAACAGAGAAAGTACAGATGAGTTGACTTGTGTGGCTTCAACTCTTGTGTAAATCCGCAAACAAGCAAGGAGAGCTTGCCTGGAGCAAGGCTTTCAATCGTCTACGTGCCAGTTTTCTTAATCAATAATTGACTGTATTTGGGCCCATTTTCCATTCCTTCCAACCTCCACTTTTTGTTTCTGGGTTCCACTGCAAGTGTTTTTGTGAGGGAACAATTTTTTAATGTATTGGTACTAATAATGCTATTTATTATGCTTGTGAGAAAGCAATTTTTAAATATACCATTACTAGGAATGTTATTTATTATAACTAGAGGTGACATCAAAATCTCAAGGATGAGAAAAACCATTTATGGAGAATTGTTGGAATGATACTTAATCTATCAATTCCTTGGGAATCTTATGTATACAACTCTAGAACAATGGTTTTAACTTTTTATTCAATCTCTTTCAATACCCCCAAATATATTCCTCATGTGGTAGTCCCTGTTCTTTTATATTCTGTTGAGGGGAAAAAAGTAATGAAAAATATACTTTAAATTTGTAATGCTTTTTAATTTTTTAAAAAAATTTATTTGACAGAGAGAGAGAGACAGAGAGAGAGAGGGAACACAAGCAGGGGGAGTGGGAGAGGGAGAAGCAGGCTTCCCGCTGATCTGGGAGCCCGATGCGGGGCTTGATTCCAGGGCCCTGGGATCATGACCTGAGCCGAAGGCAGACGCTTAACGACTGAGCCACCCAGGCGCCCCAATTTAGTAATGCTTTTAAATGAATTTCATCTTATTAAGTTCAATAGTATTTTTATATAGTTGAAAAACAGCAGCTCATAGTGAAACAAATCAAGTATTCGGACTAGAAACAACACCTGGTATACGTGTAGACTTGTGAATCCCTTACAAGGAGCCCCAAGTACATGTACCACAATCCACTGCTCTAATATTTCTTCTGGGGAGAAGAAGACCTTTAGAGGTCTGCAGGCCTTGGACTGCATTGCTTCATTGTTCTTTCTCAAGATATGCTTCTGCTTCTGATATGGTTATAGCAGCATTATTTACAGTAGCCAAGATAGGGAAGCAGCCCAAGTGTCCACTGATAGATGAATGGATAAGGAAGATGTGGCATATATACATATAAAGAAATTTTATATATATATGTGCATATATATATATAAAATGGAATATTACTCAGCCATAAAACAATGAAATCTTGACATTTGCAATAGCATGGATGGATCTACAGAGTATAATGCTAAATGAAATAAGCCGGTCAGAGAAAGACAAATACTGTATGATTTCACTCATACGTGGAATTTAAGAAACAAATGAACAAAGGAAAAAAAAAGGAAACAAACAAAAAAAACCAGCCTTTTAAACACAGAGAACAAACTGGTGCTTGCCAGAGGGGAAGCGATGGGGGGGTTGCGCGGGGGGGGGGGGGTGAAACAGATAAAGGGGATTAGGAATACACTTATCTTGATGAGTACTGAGGAACGTGTAGAATTGTTGAGTCATTATGTTGTACACTTGAAACTAATATAACACTCTATATTAATTATACCTGAATTAAAAAAAAGATAGGCTTTGCTCTTGGCTTTAAGTCCTCATTCTACAGCAAAGGAACCTGCTGTAATGACTTTGGGGTTGTAGATGCCAGATTTCAGAGGGACTGAATATACTTTGTGTATTTACTGCAATTATCAGTGGAGGACATCACGCAACATATAACACTTTCCTCCTTGCAAGGATTTATGGAAAAATTTTCTCAAATCGTAATACTAGGAGCAACCATTTTGTTTTCACCTTGTGGACACTGGGATGAGGTAATTAGATACTGTTTGAATATTTCTTCCTCCTTTGCATTGGCTGCTAGAAAGCCCCAACCTAAGTCTGGGATCCATTTTTGTGACACATTTCAGGTAATGTACTTATGTACAAATTTTATCCTAGCTTCACCTATTTTTCCTATACTTACCTTTCAATTTCTTACATTTTCTTTCCAACTACTTTGCTGTCCTACTGTATGCATTTTATAAATTGTTTTAAATTATATTTAATAAAGATGGGTATAATAACAGACACAGGCGAGCTATCTTCATGTACTCCCCTTCTCCCTTCCTTTCCTCCCTTCTACCCTGGCTGCCAGAAAAGTCAGGAACTTTTTTGAATAGTCCCTCACCAAAAAGAAAAGAGGCTCCTGTTACCTTGTCACCCTTCTTGATGGTTCTGACCTGGAGCTTGCTGATAGCTTTCTTTGCTGCATCTCCCAGTCGGCGCTAAAAAACACCAAAAGCTGCTTGTTAGTAATAAAGATGTGTAATTCTTGACTTTGTTTCTGATGGCATTTAACAAACTGGGGGCAGCTATCTCTGAAATCATGCACAAGTGGCATGAATGTTAAGGACAATGGCTGGAAGAGATGGGGTGGTGATATCTGTGCAAAGTGGAGCTAGTAATTGAGGTCTATTAAAGCGCTGTCATCGAGAGAAGCTCTTCATGCCCAATGTTGAGCAAGTGGCAAATGGCCTGGAAAAACCCTGCCCTACAGTGACTCCAGCACAGGTTACATTTATGCAGACTGGCACACACACACACACAGAAGTTTAGTAATTTGCCACTCTAGCCATTTAATTTGTGACAAGGAGATAGCCAGTCTGGAGCAGTTGGAACAAATTTCATGTTCTCTTTCTCACAATCAGGGTTTACTGTTTACTGCTTGTAGATTTCTTTCCATATGGAATTTTAAGGAATTTCCTTTGCTTTTATAGACCTAGCATAGGTTTATATATTTCATCTGTACTATCCTATCCCATCACATTCTTCCATGCCAATTTCACCTCCTCTGTGTATGTTTAAGTGTGGGTGTGCCTATAGGAAAATACATAAAACATACATGTTCAGCTTAGCAAATAATTATAAAGCAAACACCTGTGTAACTACTGTCACTCATGTCAAATAATATATTAGCACTCCTTTAAAAGTTTTTTTTTGATAGAGAAAGTTGCTATCCTAATAAGCCCTGCAATCATGTGATTATAGGGCAGGCAGGAAGAAGGGGAGCGGGGGAGGGTGGTGAATTAAGTTTTAATCTGTCAAGATTTGCTTGTGTGCTTCTGAGTTTCCTACATGTAGCAGCTCCTTCTTAGGTTTGTGTACTATGACCCTGTAATAGACACGTATTTGCAGCAGTGAAACATATTTGAAGGCTATGATAAATGAGACAAACATTTACACGGAATAATCACTTCCTTTCACTAATTTTGTTCCTTTTAGGAACAACACGCAAGCTTCTTTCTTTTCTTTAAAATTGTGAACATATCCTAGTGAACGGTTAACATATTCTGCATATCATGCTAAAACTTTATGTGCAATATCACCTTTATTCTTACAACCCTGTGAGAAAAGAAAATACTATTTTATAGAATGAACTGAGACTTAAAGAGCTTAAGTAAATTGTTTATCATAATCAGCGAATGGTCAGTCAGAATCTGAATAAAATTAAGTCTGACTTGAAAGCCAGAGCTAAACCACCACTCTAATTATTCACTAAACCGCCCCATCAACAAACTGGCCAGTCATCCAACCAACCAACATCCTCCCGGTCAGCCAGCCAGTAATCAACTGACATTTGGCCAACCAGCCAACCAACCAGTATCTACGAAGCTAGCCAGCCAAGCAACACCTGGCCAGCCAGCTAACCAGTTAACCAGCCATTCAGCCAGCCAAGCAACTAACCAACCCAAATCTACTAAGTATTTATCATATGGCACTTCCTCGAGCATACAACAGTTAAAGTAAATAAGTAGAAGAGAGGTGTTCTCCTTGTTAACTCATTTTCTTTTTGATATTGTCATTAGTTTCTAAAATGATTACTGGCAATTTTAACAGAAAAGTAAGTTTGGTTCTGACCCAAAAGGAGACCTACATACACTTGAGATTTATGCAGAAGTCCATGAGAAGCTAGCAAACTGAGGTTGCAGGAAAAAACAGGGAGAGTCTGTAATGATAAATACCATGGTGGCGGATGGACGTTGAGAGGGAAAAACATGGCGATGAAACTCAAAAAGGATGGAACTCTCTGTCCTCTCCTCTTCCTCTAATTCCTGCGGGATCATCGTTTGATCTAAACTCAGGCCACTTCTTCAGGGAGCTCTTCCTCCACGTCTCCCAAGAGGCAAGATCCTTCTAGTCCATACCTTATGGCACCTGGTCCCTCTGCTTCATGGCACTGTCATAACATTTACAATTTGGTATTTGTTTTGATGATCAATCTCTGTTAAATTTCCTTCATGTAAACTCCCTGAGGGCCAGACTGTGTTTATTTTTGCTTCTCATTGTGTCCCAGCACCTAGAATAAAGCTGCCTTTGATAACTGACAATCAATCATTCCACACGTATTTTGGATCACGTATTTAGTCCCAGGCATAGCTCTGGGTTATGGAAAGAATGGTGGTGAAAGGAGGCGTCTGGCTGGCTCAGTCGGCAGAGCATGCAACTCTTGATCTCAGGGTTGTGAATTTGAGCCCCATGTTGGGGATAAGAGAATACTTAAAAATTTTTTTAAAATCTTTTAAGAAAAAGGGTAGTGAAAAAACCCACATAAATTCCCGTTCTTTTAGCTTACAATCTAGTGGCAAAGCCATAAATGGTTGGTGAGTGAATAAATTTTTAAACCAAAAGAGTTTTTTTAAAGCATGGAAAACCATCTATGAGATTTAGCCAGTTAACGGGAAAATTAATGGACAAACTATAAGCAATATAGGTGGTGAGGTAAGCAAATCTGTGATCTTGGCCTTGGCAAAACCAGTCAGTCTCAACCAAGAGTTGGTTTTCATTGAAGAAGCCTGGAGCAGGAATTAAAAGGAATAGAGAAAGGGCTACCGGGAGTAAGTTACCAGGAATTAAGTGCAACAAACCTGCAAAACATTACGTTTAGAATAAGAAATCCGGACCCAGATAAACACATGTTGATTGTTTTTCAGTCAAGAGCTCAGGTATTTTTGCAACTGTGTTTATTTTTTTTATGATTTTATTTATTTATTGGACAGAGAGTGAGTGAGAGGGAGAGAGAGAGAGCACAGGCAGGGGGAGCATCAGGCAGAGGGAGAGGGAGAAGCAGGCTCCCCACTGAGCAGGGAGCCCGATGCAGGACTCAATCCCAGGCCCCTGGGATCATGACCTGAGCCGAAGGCAGATGCTTAACCGACTGAGCCACCCAGGTGCCCTGCAATTGTGTTTAATTATATATCTGTCCCCAACAGAATCACTTCAACTGTTTCTTATTTTCAAAGACAAAGCAGAGCAATTAAGTGGCAAATATTATTTTCAAACAATGGTCACAGAGTATACTCAAAGGAAGATCAACATTTCTAAAGGAGTGAACCAGAAATTATTTTTTCAAAGTTTAATTTTATCTAAAACATTTCTTTAAAAAATTTTTCATAAATTTTTATTGAAATTCAAAACATAAGTATAGTTTTTTTAAGTATAAGTCTACTAATGAAGAGAATGGAATTGTTTTTGGTGGGAATAACATTTCCTTTAACTGGGGTTCAGAGTTAGTGTTTCCTATTATCAGAATCACCTGCTGATCTGTAATGAGGTTTTATGTACTGTACTGATTACACTGTTTTCTATGCATAATTCTGTGTGATAGACAATACAAGGGAAAAATAATGAAACATAAGGCATAACCCCCATTCTCATGGGATTTACAATCTATTTGTAAAATTACCGTTGCAGTGGGAGAGCAACCTTAATAAATATAGCATAGCATTACTGCTTTAGGAGAGAGATGAAATAGTTTGTTAAAACTGCCTAAAATAATTTTTAAGACAAGTTATATAGTTCTGAAGGAGGATATGGATAAAAAAGTGAAGCTAGGCACATCCTTAATTTTATTAGAAAATCAGTAGTGTGGCTTATACTAACTTACACTTTCAATATTCATTTTCTTTTTCATGTGACTATCTCTTAGTATTCTTACTTCATTATATAATAGCTATTTTTTTTGACACAACCCAAGAGGAATGTCACTTTTTAAAAAAGTTTTTATTTTAATCACCGGTGCTCATCACAGCAGGTGCACTCTTTAATTTCTATCACCTACTTCACCCATCCCCTTAACCTCCCCTCTGGTAACCATCTGTTTGTTCTCTCGTTTTTTTCCCTTTGCTCATTTTGTTTCTTAAGTTCCACATATGAGTGAAATCATATGGTATCTGTCTTTATCTGACTGATTTATTTCACTGAGCATAATACTCTCTAGCTCCATCAATGTCGTTGCAAATGGCAAGATTTCCTTTTTTATGGCTAAATAGATTTCCATTGCATCTATACACCACATCTTCTTTATCCATTCATCTATCCACGGACACTTGGGCTGCTTCCGTATCTTGGCTACTGTATATAATGCTGCTATAAACACAGGGTGCATGTATCCCTTTGAATTAGTGTTTTTGTATTCTTTGGAGAAATATCCAGCAGTGTGATTCCTGGAGCGTAGGGTAGTTCTATTTTTAACTTTTTGGAAACCTCCATACTGTTTTCCACAGTGGCTGCACCAAGTTTGCACTCCCACAAACTTTACAAGAGGGTTCCTTTTTTCCCACATTCTCACCAACATCTGTTGTTTTTTGTGTTTTTGATTTTAGCCATTCCAACAGATGTGAGGCAGTATCTCATTGTAGTTTTGATTTGCATTTCCCTGATGATCAGTGATGATGAGCATTTTTTCATGTGTCTGGTGGCCATCCGGATGTCTTCTTTAGAGAATGTCTGTTCACGTTTCCTGCCCATTTTTAAACTGAATTGTTTTTTGGGTGTTGAGTTTTATAAGTTCTTTATATATTTTCGATACTAACCCTTTATCAGATATGTCATTTGCAAGAATCTTCTCCCATTCCATAGGTTGCCTTTTAGTTTCATTGACGGTTTCCTCTGCTGTGCAAAGCTTTGTATTTCCATGTAGTTCCAATAGTTCATTTTTGCTTTTTGCTTCCCTTGCCTTAGGGGACCTATCTAGAGAAAAGTTGCCAAGGCTGATGTCAGAGAAGTTACTGCCTGTGCTCTCTTCTAGGATTTTTATGTTTTCAGGTCTCACAGTAGGTCTTTAATTCATCTTTATCTTTGTGGATGGTGTAAGAAAGTGGTCCAGTTTCATTCTTTCGCATGTTGCTGTCCGGTTTTCCTAACACCATTTGTTGAATAGACGGTCTTCTTCTCATTGGATATTCTTTCTTGCCTTGTCAAAAATTAATTGATCATATAATTGTGG